AATTCATTCCGAACGGCCTTGTCCAAATTCTCCGCAAAGTATCTGATGTTCTGTGTGTTTAGCCCCGCCATCGATATCCTTCCATTCGTTGTCAGATAGATGTGCGCTTTGTCAATCAGCGCCTGCGATTGATCCGCGTTGATGCCCGTGAAACTATTGCGGCATGAATCAGTCCCAACCTCGCACATGTCACAACTACCCCCATCATGTACGTATACTCACCTGAACATTCCAATCTGTTTGGTGATGTGTTCCCAGTTACCTGGCGTATTCAGTTCCTCCGTCAGCAGCCGATACAGCTCCTCCCTCATAGCAATGATGCGGTGTGCCATCGTCTTAATGTCCCTATTCCAGTCTTCGAACAGCTCCGGACTATTGAGGATCAGCGACATCTGGTCCCACGTTCATCACTACGTGGTTCATTAGAAAGCCCAGAATTACTCACCAGCCGCGCTCCGTAAGAGGGAGGGTTACTGATCTCACTTCGCTGTATTACCGAGAGCTGGCTCTTCACACGATCGGCAGCTTCCTTGCTCGGAGAAATAATGTGGAGCGCCCCGATTCGCTGGCTGTACAACCCTGCATTCTTCGCGAAGCTCTGAAAGAAAGGGTGGCATGTAAAAACGAACGCTGTAAGTTCATGGAATACACCACCCTCACCTGACATACAAGCATGGGAACTTCTTTATCAGCAAAGTACCTCACCGCCCATGCATCGTTATTCAAATCGCCACTGGCGAAACCTTGGTACGCGCAGTCGAAGAACGCATAGTGGTTTTTGGCAATTATCACCTCGGCGAGTTCCTTCCACTGCTCCCTGGTAGGATCCACCCCGGTGGGGTTATGTGCGCATGCGTGCAACAAGATCACCGAGCCTGGCACGGCGTTCTCCACAGTCGACTTGAAACCCTCAAAGTCTAAACCAACGGTGCGAGGGTCGTAATACGGGTACTCGATGGGAGTCATCCCAACACTTTTGAAAATAGTGTGGTGGATCACTGCGCCAACTTGAGAATGGTATGTGAAATATTAGAGTCGACTCACCCCATGTAGGGTTGCTCAAGTAGATCTGTTTCGTTCCGTTGAAATTGTAATACTTGCTTAGGAACACCGCGGCAAGGTGATTGGCTCCTGTGCCGGAAATAGTCTGAATACTGACAACGCGTCCCTCGGTTAGAGCAGATGAGTTGGGACCAAGCACGAGTTTCGCGGCCGCCGCGGTAAACTCTGGCAGCCCAGTGATAGGGAGGTATTCATGATTGAGGTTGGGGTCATTCAACAGCATTTGCGATGCCTGCAAAGGACGGTAATGATCGGTGAGTCGTCAGTGGCGCGACCAGTGTACGTAGACATCATCATACACACCTTTTTAATGACAGGAAGTACCCAGGGTTTGCCATCGTCATCTCTATAGGCTCCCACGCCGAGATTGATCTTTTTCGGGTATGGATCGGCATTGCAGGCAGCTGAAAGCTTGAAAATACTACCAACTGTGATTAGTAGACATAAAGGGCACTGGGGGTATGGCACACACACCTATCCGGTGGTGCAAGGGGGACGCCCTCCCAAAGTTCTGCAAGATGGAATGAGCGATCGTGCTACTTGTCAGCAAACCAACACTAACCGCCTGACATGTTGATAGGATTGGAGAGGTGTTGATAGACCCGTTGAAGCCTGGAAGTCATGGAGGTAAGCAGCGGAAGCGTTAGAAACGAGGCCAGTATGGTATAGTATGAAGCCAGCAGGCTGGACTAGCTGTGAAGCTTTGAAGATCTAGCATGTGACAGATCTAGCATCCTCAGCGCATGTGATTTGGATGTAGCGCAGGACATTAGCCGTCTTGCGGCTGTTTTTCTGATAAGGCGATCAGTTGGAATCGGCACTCACCAGAGAGCTGGTAGTAGGGGAGGAGAGGAAACCGCAGTGCTAGCGAACTGCGATCAAGAGATTAAGTACTCGTCGAGAAGCTCACAGGAGGCTATATCTGACTTGTTTATGTACACGGTACGATGGAGACAGGACGGGTGAACACGGCTTACCCTCAGAAAACCCATGGCCAGCTCACCAGCTGACTGATGGGCCCTGCACCAGGTCACCTGGTGCAGGTGTCATTTTTGCTAATTGAATGGAGCGTATCACCGAAAATACAACTATTCATTCTGCGATCATGCGCGATGCCTTGATCAGGCCAATCTCAGGATCACTGGTACTCCTTCAAGTTCATCCTTTCGAATCCTCGACGTGTTTATGCCATGTCAACGATGTGTCCTACCTCATGGACCATAACATTATACTCCGTTCAACAACCGCTCTCCTCCGCTCTCCATCCTATCGTCAATGCACTAGTGCCCATAACGGAAGACAAGATGTGGAGATTGAGACCTCGGGAATGATACGCTGTGTTGTCATGAAAATCTGCCGACGCAATCTTAGACCATCTCGTAAACGGTGCACCTCGTGGCCAGTATATGAACAGTGTTCTGTATAAACAACTATAAGACCACAACGAAAAGTAAAGGCTGTGTCCGTTGTCCTAAGCCAATCTAGGATGGCATACCTGTAGGAGGGTGGAAACTGGATTGGTCCATGTCACAACAATAGCAATGGCGATGAATATGTTATGACAAGGTGTGGAAGCGCAATAGATAGTAAATGTGTTAGGACAAAATGACAGTGGAATAGATAGCGGTATGATGCCACGGAAATCACGGATGCATGATGGAAGGGAGACAGCGGGTGACCGTCATGCCGTTGCCATCTTAGAGGCCACAGTCCGTTCGCTCTCGAGCTTCGCTTTGTTTCTCTCAAAGGCCTGCTGCCGGCAATCCTCAAGCTTGTTGCAGTTGTGATGCTCTGGAAGGCGGTGCTGCGAACAATAAATATTGTATAAGTCACACGAGAATAGAAGAAGGTCACATTGACATACTGCGCCGCAGAATTCAACTCGACAATGTGGGCATTGGCCGACTATGCGCAAAACTGCAGAATTGCAGGGGGTTTCAGCTTGCAGTTGGCAACGTTTCTTGGGGGCCATGATGTAGTGGACGGAAGACTAGAGATAAGTTGATCTGGAGATGAGGAGAGGTTCGAGGAAACAGTAGACAATAAAAACTTACTACGAGGCCGCTTAAAAGTGGAGAGAAGGATGTGGCACAAATGCGGAGAGCTGGAATGTAGTGGGGGAGGACAATTTGAAGGTGGCCTTCAAAGGGTGGGCTTATAATTGTACAGTGCACAGCTCGGGACGCGTCACCTCAGCTAATGCTTTAACACAGCCACAACCCCGGGTTTCGGCAAGCATCGGCAATATTAATCTTGGGAGCAACCCTATGTCCAACCGACAACAAGGCCAACGCACGACAGGGACCACAGCTTGCAACGTTAACGCAGCAGTGGACCATCCCATGATCTGTCTTCAGTTGACTGTGTGTTTCAAATCAGACCTTTGCCCTTATTTCAGCCTGATCCGTTTATGAGGGCATACTATTTTTCTTGGAAATACATCCACTAAGCTTACAGCTCATCAACGGAACCTGTCAGTGTATAGTCCTGGAAATGCATCATTTTGTTCAAGCCAGGTGCTTGACAACGGCTGGGGTTTTTTCTGGGCTTGAATGTTCGACATCATGCAGGACTCAAGACATGAGGTTGTGTGTCTAGTTTGGGGTTCGCCATCTGGGTGGCCCAATGCGATTAATGTAGCACAACCATGTCCCAACTACAGTACATCGCGTCTTTGCACTGGTGACTTTCACGAAGCTGACGCAACGATTCACCTTCCCTTTGTCTTTTGCGTTCCACCACCTGATGCCGAGCCAGTTCGATGGTGATCGCATTTCCTTTTTGGACCCCACCCCACCATGTGGCATGTTTCCTTTCGAGGACATGCTCGCTCAACTTCTGCGTCATCGAGCGATGGCGTCCCCTCAACTCGTGGTATCCTGCAGATTATAAAAGGATGACTGTCCTCGTTTCACCCCCTCGTCGCCTCTTTCCCCCCTTCAGCTCAGACCATGGTGCTCCACGCCAAAGCCCGAAAGACTATGCAGGAATCTATGCAGAAAACGTTTCAAATCCCAGTGATATCTCAGTGATACCTCACGTGCTGCACTCTTTGCGCCTCTTGACGATATCACCCATGAAAAGGCATCGTCGGCCCACTTTACGGGCGCACGATCGCGTCGCTCGTTTTTGGAGTGAATTCATCGTCTAATCCAGCGACTCTGCAGAGTGCAGACAAGGCCATCGGTGGCGAGATCAAGCCCTGCGTACCACTCCCAAGTCTTGGTAAGTCCTTTGCTCTCTCGCAGACGTCGAGTCTCGGCGCGGTCAGGGAGACTCGAGAACTTTATTTTATCTCTCTCTCTGGCCTTGCCTGGCCAGCTTGACAAGCACGCCACTGTCACCACGATCGCCGACTATATCTACACGTTATTCACCCTCTTTCCCCGCAGAGCCAACATCGCCATCCCCCCTCAAACTTTGCAGGCAGATGAAGGCGTTTCTCTGTTCACCACAGCTTCATGACCATGTTGCTATTTCCACAAAGGGGGGAGAGAAACACTTTACAGTTGCTGTTGACGTTCCCTTAGGGCAAGTTGTTAGATGACCCATCGCCCTCAGGATGTGGGACACCCGTCTCCTAATTCCTTGTAGGACCGAGGATTCTTTGGACGCGGTCAACCACGCACACTTAGAACTCAAGAAACGAGTATGGACCGGAGAGGGTTTTTTGGGGGGGCACAGTCAACCATTCATACTTAGAGCTTAAGAAATGAGTATTATCAGATCAGATATAATACAGCAGCGAGTAACTTGAAGGATCCATTTATATATAACGGAGGCACAAGTTGAGTTAGGTAACACATTCCATCCTGCTGTTACGTTCATCATGCATGCAGTCAACTTCTCATTTCAAGATTCAAAGACAATTGCTCTGGTTCGGCGTTAAACACAATCAACAACGCATACTTACAAGTCGAGAAACTAGTATTTTCAGCTCGGATATGGTGTAACGGTTTAACATGGCTGTCTTTCACCTGAGTCAGCTGGATCACAGCAGCCCCGGGTTCGACTCCCGGTATCCGAAGTTTTTGGCTTTTTTTCTCTGGCCGCTATTTCGACAAAGCAGCGGCAGTGGTTATCCCTACTGGCGATGTTTAACGCGTGTACTCCAGACCCTGTGGAGTCCATTGACAAACGGAATCCATTGACAAACGACGGGAATTGCTTTACAAAGACCAATAATGCGCTACACCACACTGCGTTCCTACCTGGACTTCAACGAACCCCTCCAGACCTCAACACCTTCCCAATCCACTGCATCCCACAACATACCTGCCCGTTCGAGTGCCTTTCTGAGTTTTTTTGTTGGTACTCGAGTCAGCGACACTGGGGCGTGCGACAGGGCATTATTGATGAGTTGCGGGTCACGTCGCTCAAGAGCAAGAAGAAATAGAGGGGGTATAAGAGTCTGTCCTGGCAAGCTAAATGCAAATAGAGCGCGCACAGTGCGGAAAAACGGATCAATGAGTGATGCGTCGTAAATCGTGTCGCTAGATATAATGAGATCGAAGGGTGGACCGAGCAAATTCTCCGTTGTGCCGTCTTGATTTGAAGAATTTTCGTCCGGAGTAATTCGCATTGGATGGTCCCACTGCCACCTATCGCTGTCGATGTTCCAGTCCAATACACGAACTTGGATCGTTCCAGCGTTACTGGGGAGATGCTGCAAATTCGCTGCGATGTTGCGCCTCAGTACAGAATCGCATACGTGAGCGGCGTCAGTAGCAAGGACGTCGTATCCGAGCGAACATAGCACAAGGCTATTTCCGTGACCGAGGAGTAATTGATTCATCAACCATCCAATTGTATCACATGCAATGAATGGTGACGCCATTGGGTGGGGCCGTGAGTTGATTTTCGGGTATGAATGGCAACGATCCGTGGCAGCGATGGAGACAACGAGTTCAGCTAGCCAGCAGTGTTGGGGGAGAGCAAAGGCACACGCACGCCGTGAGGCCTATCCCGCTGCCCAGCTCCACGGCCCGTGGACGTCTTTGTTCACCAACACGTACACGGGAGCCTTTCAGTTCATTGACTAGATACGCGGAGAGGACCTGTCCTCCGAGCCAGAGGGCGGTGCCATTGCTAATACCATCGTCCCTCTGGTCAAGGTGAAAGGTATGACCATTGGAAGTATACGTGAGGGTAGGCAGGTGTTTTGTGTGATGGGCAGGAAGGGACCGTCCATGGAGTGCGTCCGACATGAAAGCCAAGCTGGGGCGCGTGGTGAATACACGAGGGGGTCAGATCTGGGCTGATATGGATGTTTCCTGAATGAAGCAATGAACATGAGGTGAACGATAACCTTGTGATAAGAAGAACACGACCTTACAGTGGAATAACACGAGGAAAGAAGGTTACCAACAAGATCAAATCCGAGGGTTTGGGAGAAGAAGAAGCGAGCGAAAAAGGAATGTTTTGTGATATGTTTTTGATATGTTTTTTTGTCGTGAGAGTTGGAGTAACCGCGTAGCTTAGCAGCAGTTGTGTTCGGTTGTTGTTTGGTTGACGTTGAGGTTTTCAGCGATGGTGCTGCGAGAATAATCTCGCGAGAGTTGCGACGGAATTTCAGCAGGTGAACCAGTCTTCTCGACCCCAGCCTCACACTCTAGCTGGGATTAGCGCGGAACTGGATTCGCTTTGTTCTTCTCACTTTCGGATTACCTTTGAGCTACCACTAATTGTGCCCAACGTTCCATCTCTCCATCGTAGGCGCTTCCAACACGTTGTCGTCTCCTTCTCCTCCACTGAACACATCCAACACCGACCCTTTTTACATCTCTTTCCAACTGGTAACTCGGCCTGGAGGCCATGAAAGCCTTATTCAACAGGCTCAACAGAGGCCTTTCAAAAGACCCCAAGGACAAGGACAGGGATAGGGACAGAGAACGAGACAAGGACAAAGACTCTGTCATTACCCGTGACCGCGACCGCAGTGATACCAATACCCTTAGCTCGTCTGCGAATTCCAACACCCATTCTCCAAATACCACCCCACCCTCCCGAGAGAAGAGGGAGCTCGTACAGCTTCCCCGCCTCCCTGAATGGCCGCCTTCCCATGTCTCGCATTCTCGCACGGAGAACAGGCACGACCGTCATTCCCATGCGCCTAGTCTTGTTCCCAGTCAGATCCAGAGGTCTGCTAGTGCCGGGACTACCGGAACAAGTGCGGGCACTCCCTCCTCCCTTTCCTCCACGAAACCCTTACCGGATCTCACCGCTCGTCCTCTTCCTCCAATTGAGGAACCAAACGATGATGCTGACAACGACAGCGGTGTAGGTCTCCCTGTGTCCGCCCTCGTCCCGTCCCCTGCAGATCCGACAACCCCAGCAATCAAGTCCAGCTCTCGCAAGGCCGTCGATGGCTCTGTCACTGTCAATGCATCCAATGTAGACATTCAGAAAAAAGTTGCATTTATCTCTCCACCACCGACCCCATCAGGACCCTCAACCACACAGCCCCTTCTGGACACGACCACCAGCCTCACTACCGCCGGATCGCCGTCTCAAGCGCCTGCCAGTGCTCTGCTCAAAACGACCGTCTCACGTTTTCAGGCAACACATGGCAAGGACACGCGTGGCTCTACTTCAACTGCCGCATCATCCTCACGTACAGACTTAGGTTCCAAATCAACCACGACCACCAACACCACGAGCACCGGCGCTACTTCCACTACACTCGCGCTCCCCGCAGCTCAAAATTCCTCTGCCAAAGCAACATCAACGCGGACTGTTGTGTCGCCGTATCCTGGTTCTGTGCGCTCTGCGACACCCTATTCTCAAATGTCGAGTACCAGCACACGGATCCTCGCCGTCACCTCGTGGAGTGAGGGTGCAGAGGAGGATCTCGTGAGTAACCTTGGTCCGCGCGAGAGGACCAGACAGGAAGTTCTGTGGGAGATCGTAGCCAGCGAGGAACGGTACGTCTCCAATCTCATAATCCCGCAGCATCCACATCTCATTTGTCATTCTTACGCAACCCAGGTACGTCAACGATCTCCAGAAAATGAAAGATACCTTCATCGAGCCACTCCTCCATCCCTATGCTACGCCACCTCCTACGTCCCCCACACTCTTCGAGTATGACGATTATATATCCACACCTGCCCGACTGGGCTCACCCCAAGAGTCCATCGAGGTACTCCCCATCGCTGCACGTTTCATGTCTCCCACAGGTTTCCGCTCCGAGGGCGCCTCTGCTCTTACCCCGGAAACCAAGTCTCTCGCGCCGACCACGCCAAACATCGATGACGAGTCGGCCGAGTCGGACATGGACGATGAAGGAGACCAGCTCCATGGTTTGCAATCCAATCGTGCAAATCTGGCTGCGAAGCACAACCATCCTCGTTCACCGTATCGCACCGGATCAGCCATGGGGGGTAAGAATGGCAAGACCAAGGAATCGGTGCCGTTCCCATCACGGTCGCATGCATCTCTGTCACCTCAACAGCGCATGAATCAGGCCAACGCGTCTTCGCACTCGTTGGGACGCCAGTCTGTTCCCGAGCGTGATCGTGAGCGAGACAGAGATAGGGAACGGAAGGACAGTTCGAAGACGACGCCGACACTGCACAGCCGTGTGCTGCGCAAACCTAAACGGTCACAAACGCAACCGGATGGCTTACTGCAAGGCGCTGTCCCTCCGCACCTCATCCCTGAGGACTTGCGAACATGTCTCGAGGTCATCGAGAGCGGCGTCCTCGATGGTCATGTCAAGCTCAGCGAAGGATTGAAAAAACGTTACGACGAACAATATCCACTCGTGCGATCGCTTGCAGACGTCTTCGTGTCGAATGTACGTTATCCGTTACTATGAAACCTTGTCCACGTGCTGATTTTCTACAGTCCCATATTTTCCAAGGTTACGCAACCTACGTCCTCCACCTCGAGCGCGCGCTTGAGCAGGTTGACAATGCCCTCTCCACTGCCAGCGCTGCCAAGAAGCCCAAAAACCAGGACGCTGCTGAATGGTTCAGAGTGTGCAAGGCCTTGCAGCGCCTTGAAGAGCTCGCCGCCGAGAAAGGCGAGACTGGACTTGCCATCACACTCTCGAAGCCGTTTCAGCGCCTGCTCAAGTATCCTCTCCTCTTTCAGAACCTCCTCTTCCACACCGACCCAAGTACGTTCGAATATGAAAGCACTCTCCAGATGGTCGCTGAAGTGGAGACGATCGTCCGGAGTATCGAGGACGAGAAAATCCAGAAAGAGGACCGTGATAAAACGAGGGATGTCTTCGCACGTATCGAGGGACTCGATAAGGTGAAGCAGCTAGCGATTCCGAAACCCTCTAGGTTGCTTCTGGAGGAGAGGCAAATTCATGTTGGTCGGGATGGATCGATATCAGCCGCATCGCTTAAAGGATCCAGCCCACCGCCGGTAATGGCTACCAAGAACGTCAAGGGTAAGACTTCGTTCCGGCGGCTGAGCGATGTTCTGGGGTCGGGCTCTGGTATAGGAGGGAAGAAGGACTTGTGGCTGGTGGTGTTCAATGACGTCGTGCTAAGGTGTCAGCGCACCGGGACTACTTCGTTACCTTTGGTGTCCAGCACGAACTCGCGCACAAATTCTTTGCCAGAGATGCAAAGCAAGTCAAAGTTCGCGACGACCGGGCGTCGGAACTCGCACACAAGACCACGAAACTTGTACAAGTTTATCAAGGCGCGTGCGCCTTCTGTGGAGTAGCAAATATGTTAACTGAATTTCTTCAACAGATAGAAACATGGGCAATTGGGGACGTAATCCAACCGAAGGAAGGCATCGTGGCCATGGAAGAGTAAGTGCACTAATACATATACTACCCAACATACCTTACTTCGGTTTCAGTGTTGTTCGATCCAAGGCAGAGGCGCACTCTACCAACAAACCGAAGATCATCCCTCTTCCGGACGAGGACGAAGACGGGGATGACTCAGACGACTCAGATAAGAAGAGCAAGATGAGCTTCTCCTACTGGGGCGCTGACAAGATCACGCTCCAAAAACCCGTTTTCAAGCCCAAGCAGCATGCCAATGGCGGGTCAACGCG